GTATGTAATACAATAAGTCAGCAATTTAGCCAGTGTCTTAAGAGGTAATTATATAAAAGAAGCACTATTAATAGTACCTTTAAAATATTTTAATGACTTTTCTGAAAATTTAAAAATTCAGCCCAATATATCGTCCTTGATATACTCTAGTTTGCCATTGTCGCTTCCTCAGTAGTATCTACATTTCCTTCTATTGCTTCTAGACAAACACAGTAAGGAAGCAAGCATTGGATCTGTCTGCGCTTGGTATTATTTCCTAGCAGTTTCTCTTGAGACAAAGTCATAATGGAAGAGAGGCAGAATATATTAAATTTTCCAGAGTATATTAAATTTCTTTTAGGTATATTGCCTTAATTTCCTTTGTAACCTCTAGATATAATTTCTTCTAGGTGTTAGCACATGGACACTGTTTTCAAAGATGACTTAGATAATATTTGTAATTTTGTTTTATTGTACTAAATTATCCTATTAATTTGAAGTAACTAATGGAATAGAAAACCTTTGGGCTTTCCTTTGAGAATTTTTGCTCATAAGGAAATTCTTTCTGTGCATCATCTTTTGAACCTGGAAATTTTACCCTAAAAGGGGCATTTTCCTTTGTAGGTTTCACAGATGTTGAATGAGCAAATGCATGAAAAAATGAACAGGCTGTGTTCCTTGTTCAAAACTCCTAGATCTTCTTGTTTTTCTCTCGCAAGAGAACTTTATTTTTTACAAACTTAGGGCATACAGAACTGCGGACAGAGTTTCTGAAGTTCATAGAGATTTGGATTTGTGGTTAGAACCAGTTTGAAAGCTGGATCCACTTGAACATGGCTCTGCCAGGACACCCAGTATCCCCATGTCTCTGTGTGTGGAAAGCTCTGTGCTTGGGCATTCCCCTGGCTCTTCCTCATCCTGCCTTTGACAGCTCTTCTGTGTGACCAGTGGACTGAAGGATGATTCATCCCTGGGTCTGAAGTCAGCTTGGCCAAGTGAGATGTTGAAAAATTAGAGAATAGTAAAGAATCTCTGAAATTAAAACAGCTCTTTAAATAGCTTAGGACAACTGGGTAAAACCTGGCAATACCTCCAATAGAATGTTCTATAGTATTATTAACACAATTAAAAGTTTTTTTTTACTATGTTAATCACCTGAATTAATGTCTTCATTGCCATCAAGCCTTGATTGCCTTCTATTCATTAGCTTTTGATTTAATTAATGAGACTTGTTAAAGAGGAATCTTCAGTGTTTTCCTGTAAACAGCTCTCATTTGTTGATTCAATTGGAATTTTGTAATTATTCTAAGGAACTTAAATCAATGTTTGAAGTGTATGTTTTGGATCTTCAATAAAATCGTTTAAACTATACAAGGTAGTTATTAGATATAATAACTTCTTTTCTATGTTATCTCCTTTTCTGTGTGATTCTATGTCATTTTTATAGAATAACAGATATGTTCTTTTGATGTCTTTAACAAAATGACATTTCGTTAGAGTTAGTAACTTGGAATTTCAAGTATTTCAGTCTGTGCTAAAGTTTATAAAAACATATGCATCAAAGGTAGAACATTAGAAAATTGGTAATGTTATTTTTTCCCAAAGGTATTTTTTCCAAAAGTGGAGCAGGTGACTTAGCATTTTTTCCTAGGGCTTTAGAACTGAGGGTTCCAGTAGTTGGTGAGTGTCTAGACATGTAGAGAAAAACTAATTAAGAAAAGAGAAAGTCACAATGACTCTAAGGTTAAAGAGCAATTTGATAATCAATATGATTCTTAAGGGGAGACCACTAAAGCAGTTGAAGAAGAGGGAGATACTGATTAGTGGTCTAGACACAGATAATTAAAGGATAGTGGGGGTTTTGAAACATGGCTGTTGGGTGCAAAAGGGTTAATTAACAAAGCATTCTATAAACTCTAAAACTTTAAGGAAATGAAAACTTGCCATATCCACATGTGTCAAAATCAAAGAGGTTACACATTTAATTTGAAAAAGGACAATAAATACTTAAGCCAAACATGAAAGAAGATACTGAAAACTTTATTAAATTTGAGATTTCTGAAACTTTTGAAAGCAGCAATTATTATACTTTAATCTTTTTTTTAAATATTTTATTTATTTATTAGAGAGAGGGAACATGCGCAAGCGAGAGCGCGAGCAGGGGGAGTGGGGGAGGGAGAAGCAGGCTTCCCGCGGAGCAGGGAGCCCGACACGGGGCTCGACCCCAGGACCCTGGGATCATGACCTGAGCCGAGGGCAGATGCTTAACCGACTGAGCCACCCAGGCGCCCCTAAACTTTATTCTTGAGTTATCTTTCAGGTATAAGAAAGGAATTATCAGTATATTAACATTATTAATTCAATAAATGTTTTTGAGAGCCTACTCTATACCAAGCAGTTTTAGGCACTGGGCACATAACAGTTAACAAAACAGAAAGAGTTCCTTCACTCCCAGAGCTAATAGTCTAGCATAAATTTTAAGGAAATTTTTAGTGTTATGTAATATAATACATAAAACTCAATGTTTCTAGCGTTATGAGTATCATAACTATAAGAAATTAATGCTTGGAGTTTCAATTCGTGGAGAATGGTGCTTCAGAATCAGAATTCCCTCAATCTACTTAAAGGTGTTCTACCTCTAGTGGCATTTAAAGAGTAAATGTTGGCTTAGTTGAAGGTTTCTCTCCTTTTAGTATATTATAGGGGAATGAATTATGCTTCATGGTCTGAGAGTGTTTTAAGTATATGACCTTTAAAAACACGAATTCCCTATATTCTAGAATTCAGTTCATGGTGCATATAAGTTAATGATCTCAAGGGAAGTAGAAAAGCTTTGTGGGAAGCAGGTTGTGTGTATTTTTTTATGGGTGAGAGGAAAATATCTGTAAATGTGGGGAAAGTTCCAAGCAGTTCCTGGAAGCAGTTACTGCCTCCTCTGGGGAGCCAGTGATGAGCTCAACTGGGCTGAGAAGAATCTGTGCAGATGTTAGCACTGACTGCATCCCAGCCTCAAGCCCCGCCAGAGACCACCCCCCACCCTTAGTCATAAAGGACAAAGTGAGAGCACAAGGTACAGTCTCCAGTGGAACTCCATGTGCATATCAATTTTTTGCCTGCACCTGGGTACCTAGAGCACAGTCAGGAGTGGAAAAATCAAGGTAATGTACTGAGGAGCGAAAGGATGCAGAACAGAAAAGCAGTTGGCCTGTCATCCCAGCTGAAAGACAAGGAAAAATACCTCCTAACCTTGAGAAGGGGGCACATTGTGGGGCTTTATAATCAGATGGCCTTATCCCATTAGGGTAACCAACAAAGTACTTCCACAGTTAGCGCAATGAGGAATGCCACTGGGATGGTTGGGCTGTGCTGAATTCCTTGGACTTTCAAGTTTTGTGTCTGTGGCAGTTTTTCGAGCAAAACCAGACCAATTGGATGCAGTTCTTAAAAAAGAGACATTCTCATTCTTTGTTTCAGACTCAGGCACTGGATTCTCTGGACCACATGAGTTCTTGTTTGCTGGTTCCATAAGCTCTGAAGATTTGTGGTTGTAATTTTTATCTATCAGATTGGCAGTCAGTGGTTGATAACATAGTAGAGGTGAAGGGGCTAACAGGAGCTCTTACATTTGTTCTGTAGGAAGTGTAGGTTGGTACAACCTCCATGTAGGATAATTTCCCACTATTCATCAGAATTAGAATTTAGATATGCACATACATTTCAAACTTGAAATGCCACTTTTAGGAATTTATCTTACAGATATTTTTTTTTTACCTGAATGAAGTTACATGTCCAAGAATATTTATCGCCATCATTGTTGTAGTAGCCAAAAATTGGGAACATGCTAAACGACCGTCTGTAGAAGACTGGGATTAAATGAAGTATATTACACGTATACAAAGGAGTACCCTGTGGTCTTTCAAAGGCAATAGAAAGTTTTCTCTATGAGTTTATGAGGAAGTCACCAAATTTATTAAGGTAAAATACACAGTGTGCTCTGTCTAGCATACTACCATATATGTGTGTGTGTAAGTATATATGAACAATGGTAACCCGTGACCTCACAGGATGGGAGCTGGGTGGCTGAAGGAGCATAGCAGAGAGACCTACTTTTCATCAAATGCCTTCTTATACCTTTTACATTTGTAATGTGTGCTTGTTTTATCTATTCTTATTAACAAAGGATACTGCTGGGCCTAGTAAAGGTAAAGGAGAGCGTTCGCCTATAAGACCAATGTAGATTGTCATGTTTTTGTTAACAGAATTGACTAGATAAAAAAGTTATCTGCCTAGTGCAGTCTGACTTTTAATTAGAGCCGATACACATTTAGAATACGTCTGGAAGAACCATCTGCTTTGGATAAGTCCTGTGTAATCTTATAATAGTAAAGCATTCATAACTTTTATTTTGATGATATACTGATGTATCATAAGACACATTCAGACCAAATATAATTTTAGAAGGCTCTAGTAAAAAAAAATAACGAGAAAGGGAGGACTGAGTGATATTGAGAGAGAGAAAGAAGAGGGAAGAGAGGAGAGAGGAGAGAAGTCTGAGTATCGAGTTTCTGACCTTGGGGATTGAATGACCTCAGCTTAAGACTGAAGATGAAGACATTTCAGCCAAGGACATGAGGAGCTATTGGAAAAACTAAGGGAAAGAGTTATTTTGATTTCGTGATTTCTAATTAGTCTGAGAATGATTGATCAAGCGTGGTGATTTTGTTAAGCACTAGTTTCATTCTGGAAGGAACACAGAGGGAATCATAGAAAACTATGATTAGTTAAATCTTGGGACAAGGCGAGTGTGAATATTTAAAATGTGAATATTTAAATGTGAATATTTATAATGATGATATAAAATTCCCAAGCTTGCTGAAATTAATCTTGTTGTGGTGGCATAATTGAGTCACTGACATTTTCAGTGCAAAAATGCATAAAATATAAACTGTAAGAAAATTAGAGCCATAACGGGAACATATTCTCACGGATTCACTTCTCATCTTTTCTTCCGTTTCTGCCAGAGTAAATGGGAAGTTGGTAGCCCTGAAGGTGATCAGGCTGCAAGAAGAAGAAGGTACACCTTTTACAGCTATCAGGGAAGGTAGGCATTTTCTCGTTATCTTTGCTTTTGTGTTTGCATGATGCCTGTAGCTGTTTAAATATTACTCACCTCTCATATGCAGAGTTTGTAAATTATATGGTTATATCTCATTGGAAAGTGTAAACTGAAATTTAAAAATCAGTATCTCTTGCAATCATATCGAGTCATGTTAAATAAAATAAGACAATCCTGCTGTATACTCAGGTGTGGGGGAAAAAACCTGATGTGTATTGATGGTGAGACTAAAGCTGACTGAGGAATTTTATATGCTTGGTTTTGTTTGTAGGGTTTCTAAGGTACACATTAATCTAGCATTACTTTATATTCATGACTTTTAAGAAAAGTCCTTACACATACTGGGCTCATGCTATCTTGTTAGTCATTTGTATTTCTTCTTTCTTGATTTCTTTGTTCCTGTCCTTTACTATTTTTTCCGTTGGTCTTTCTTATTGACATTTAGATACTCTTTATATATTAGCATCATTTATCTTGTAATATTTTCTTTGGTCATTTTTCTAAAAATTTCTCTTACAACATAGTTTGTTACATACATGTTTTTAATTTTTATAAAATAAAATTGCTTTATATTTTATTTCTGCATACTTTCTCTACTCCAAGAGAATAAAATATCTTTTTGGGGCGCCTGGGTGGCTCAGTTGGTTAAGCGACTGCCTTCAGCTCAGGTCATGATCCCAGAGTCCTGGGATCGAGTCCCGCATCGGGCTCCCTGCTCTGCAGGGAGCCTGCTTCTCCCTCTCCCACTCCCCCTGCTTGTGTTCCCTCTCTCGCTGTGTCTCTCTCTCTGTCAAATAAATAAATAAAAATCTTTAAAAAAAAAAAAATCTTTTTATTAGTGGGAACTTTTCAGTTCAGTTTCACAACTTTTAGTATTAATAGCTTTCCCTCCACTACATTTAAAAATTTTAGTGCCAATATAGTTAACAAAGTGTTATATTAGTTTCAGGTGTACAGCAATATATGATTCAGCAGTTTTGTACATTACTCAGTGCTCATCATGATAAGTGTATTCTTAATCCCCTTCACCTATTTCAGCCATCCCCCCACCCACCTCCCCTCAGGTAACGATCAGTTTGTTCTCTATAGTTAAGAGTGTTTCTTGGGTTGTTTTTTTTGTTTGTTTGTTTGTTTGTTTTTTCCCCTTAAATTCCACATACAGGTGAAATCATATGGTATCTGTCTTTCTCCGACTGACTTATTTCACTTAGCATGATACTCCCTCCACTACATTTTTAAAAGTACAAATTATCTTGACATAAGACTTCAGCTTATTTTTTGCACTGAAGGAACTATAGCTGACCCACCACAAGATAACTGTGAGTGATTTACTGCAATAATATCATTAAGGTATTGAGGAATTAAATGTAGTCTGTCCCTGGTCTGATTTGTTTCTCACAACCATCATTATGATTTACATTTGTTTTTGAGAGGCCTCCTTTCGGTTTTCACTTTCTCACCTCTCATTCTCCTTTTCGTACCACTTCCGTTTGGTTTCCATCATTCCTACTTAGCTGAAAATGTTGTTGTGAAGGCATCTTTATGAAATATTTGTTACATAAAGAGGGTGCTCCCGTCTTATGGGATTGGAAACCACTGGTTGAGATAGAGCAGTGGTTCTCATCGAGCTCTGGAGGGCGGCAAGGTGGAGTGCTCTTGAATTTGATTTTGCTAGACCCTGAGTGCTAGGGTGTAGGAAAGGGGCAAAGAGAGGCTGGGCCAAGAGAGAAGCAGGAGGAAATGAAACTGGGCAGCAGGCACACTCCCTAACGTGTGGGGTATACACTGCAGTTTACCAACCTGCCCTTGCTGTTCGTGCTAGCCTCGGTTCAAGGTTCAGAGCAAGTTTATAATGGTATTAGAGGATCCAGTTGTGACAGTTGGACTCATCAGTGCGAAGTTCAAGGGGAGAAACAAATGGAGCCAAATTGAAGTGGTTGTTGATGTGTTCATACTGCCTAGGTATGAGGCAAGGCCGTTGGGCACAAGGTAGGCCTGAGATAAACTTGGGAACGGGCCCTGGGAGGCAGTTGTGTCAGAGGATGCAGGCCTCTGTGGGTTAGGGAGCCTCTGAAGACTTTTGAACTGAGTGTATTAGGAAGATAAATCTGATATTAGGTATGATATAGATTAGATGAGGAGGAACCTGGAAGCTGATAAATCAGTCATTCAAAGTCGTGCAGATTTGAAATTACGAGGACCTGGGTTAATTAGAAAGCGGTGACAAAAAATGATTTGTAGAGAAAGAAATGCCAGAACAAGGTGAATTACTGGTTAGAGATTATTTGAGAGGGAAACATAAATGGTTTTGAGTTTGAGTGAGTAAAAACATGGTGCCAGAGGGAGAAATAATTTGTGTTGCTTTTAACACTTTGCAGTTTGAAAGGGCGGTTATCTACTGTAAACTTCACTTGAGCCCTTTGAAGGGATTTTGTATAGAGTTTATACTGTTTATAGAATCTGTGATACGAGTATGGAATTGAGGCCTAGAGAGGTTAGTTGACTTGTCCAAGGTGTTGGATCTTGTACCTAGGCTTTCTTAGTTAGTACTCTGTGGAGTAGTAGATTTGAGTTTTGGACTTTCTGAGTTCACGATACGTCTATACGAAAATGTCTTTTTGGCGATGTGGGAGTAGATCTCATGAGAGTTTAGCATAAACAGTATATATTTAGCATGGTCCTTAACAAGCTGAATGAGTGTAAGATTTTTGTGGGAGAGGACTTTGAGCAAAAAACAGGGAGTTAAATTGGAAGGGAGTGTAGTGAGGTGTGGGAAGCCCCGTGGATATTAGAGTCTAGAAATCTGGGCTTCATTCTGGCTCTGTTTTTCATCACCTACCAGACAACATGAGGCAAGTCACCTATATTACTTTGCTAGGGCCCCTGTAGCAAAGTACCATAGGACAAGTGGCTTAAATAACAGAAATTTACTGTGTCGTAGTTCTGGAGGCCAGAAGTCCGAGGTCAGGGTGTCGGGGTCCTGCTTCGGAGGGCCATGAAGGCAGGATCTGTTTCAAGCCTTGGCTTGTGGATGGCCATCTTTTCCCTGTGTGTTCAAATCATCTTCCCGCTACCTGTGTCCAATTTCCTTTTCTTGTAAGGACACCAGTCATATTGGATTAGGGCCCACTCTAATGATCTCAGTTTAGCTTAATTACCTGTGAAAACCCCCTGTCTTCAAGTAGGGTCATATGCTGAGGTGCTGGGGTTAGGACTTCAACATGTGAATTTTGGGGGACACAATTCAGTCTCTAACACCACCTCATGGCTCTAGGCCTCTGTAACCCTGGTTGTGGAACATGGGAGTTGGTTTGTGCCATCTCTCAGGAACCATCTCCCTCTATGTTATGGTTTTGATTTCCCACGGAATCTTCAAACTCAGAGTTTTGAATACCCTGGAGAGCAGGGAAGGCTGCAAGAATTGTTGAGGCCTGGAGGAACAGATCACAAAATGACATTGTATTTTCCATTGAATAAAGTATTTTGAGGTTTCCTAATATAATATGACTTCTCGGTGATTTTTAACGGAGATAACTGACCCAACAGTAAGAAGAGGAATTAAACTTTGGGTCAGTTTTGGTTATTTACTCCTCTCTTGCCTTCTTATTCCCTCCTCTCATAGTCTTATTTTTCTCATTTTTCTGCTCTGTATGTTTGAAAGCAAAAGCTAGCACAATTGCTCCCTTTTGCTGTGAATAATGATTCATGCAAAGTAACTCCTCTGTGTATCTGGTGGTAGAGTTTGAAATATTTAGAATGGGGGTGGGTGATGTTTGGGATATGTTCATTTTTGCATTTTTACATTTTTGCATCTTTACATTGATGAGGGTGTAGCATGGCTTGCTCAATTGAGACGAAGCACTTTAATTTGAGTTTGCCTCTTTTCTGCTGTTTTGGTCAATTTCCTCATTCACAAAATGTCAACAGCAGGAGGATTTCAAAGGAGGAAAACAGAAAAGTAGTTTTCAAGTGGCAGCTTGCCACTTAGAAGCTTACCTGGGAATTTAGATTTTAACACATAATTTTCACTTAAAGTAGAACTACTTGTCAGCAACTCTAATCTTACCTGGATTTATGTCCAGAGATGGATTTTGAATTTTATCTCAGAGCTAGAGTGCTTACTGGCTTAATTCGGGTTCAGGTGCTTTGAGACTCATTCTATTTTTGATGGCAGCTTAGAGAAATTAAGCAGCAGTGCTATGGGCTAGCTATTCTCTTTTTTATTCTCATATGGTATCTTCATAGATTCTGATGGTAAGGATAGAGTCAGGAGATACTGGCATGGTTTCAAAATGAGTAGATAAAGTTTCTTAGGATATCCCACCTTTTTTTTTTTTTTTTAAGATTTTATTTATTTATTTGTTAGAGCGACCGAGAGAGACAGAGAACATAAGTGGGGGGAGGAGCAGAGGGAGAAGGACAAGTAGACTCTGCACTGAGCACCGATCCCAACACGGGGCTCGATCTCACGACCCTGAGATCATGACCTGAGCCAAAATCAAGAGTAGGACACTCAACCCGACTGAGTCACCCAGGTGCCCCAGGCTATCCCATCTTTATAAACAACTTCAAGATGTCTGATGTCTGTATTCTTGCTCTGTGATACTATATTCTAGATATTCAACAGTTTGTTTGTTTGTTTGTTTTTGGCTAAGATTTGCCCAGAGAAAGAATAGAAGGGAACCAGTTATCATCTTTTGTGAATTTTTGAATACCTAATAGTTTTCTTAGGCAAGAGTTAAGAGAAATCTAGATACTGTAAAAGAGAAGAGTTTTCTTTTAAAGATATTATTTGTCAGAGAGAGAGAGAGCACGCACAAGCAAGGGGAATGGCAGGCAGAGGGAGAAGCAGACTCCCTGCTGAGCAAGGAACCCAATGTGGGGCTCGATCCCAGGACCCTGGGATCGTGACCTGAGCTGAAGGCAGACCCTTAACCAACTGAGCCACCCAGGCATCCCTCACCCTTCCACATGCAGATCTTTAT